AAATTCAACCTATAATTTTTTTCAAGTAATGCTTTTAAGTTTTAATTCAAATTTCTTAACAATCAATTTATCTAAAAAATGTTTTAAATCTTTATTACATAGAAAAATAAATATATTGCTATTATTATTTTTTTTGTTAACTTAAACATTTTTCTTTAATTGTTAATTTTTTCAACCTTAATTTGCCACTATATGATATTAATTAAAAATGAAAAATTAAGTCATTTTTGTTATTATAAAAAAGAAAGTGAGCACAACAAATGAGTCTAAAGTGCAAACTCACCAAATGTTAAAGCATTCTTACTATAAAAAAACAATTATACTAATAGTAAAATTTTTTAATTCTACAAATAAAATTTGCAAGATCCCTTATAGGAATGGTAAAATAACTCGTAGTTAACTGATTCCAACCCACCCTGATCAAATAACATCATATATATATATATATATATATATATTAAATAAAAGGTCAAGTTAAAGGTGAGTCAAGGTTTTTTTTTTTTTTTTTCTAAATCTAGTTTGAGTCAAAGTTAGATTTTATATTGCACCGTCCCAATTGGGAATATATAAAAAATATTTTTTTGTTTAATTTTATATTTATATATGTATTATATTAATAAAATTATTATTTAATATTTTAATTTAAGATATTAACTTAACAAAAATATTATATCTATGTATAATTAAAATGTTATTTATATTAAAAATAATATTTATGAATATTATACTAAATTAAAATTATTAAATTAATTTAAAGTCGAGTCGATTATGATTTATGAATATACAGGTAAAAGTCAGAGTCAAGTATCAAAAAAATAATATTTTGATGTCGTATTAGGTTAAAGTTAGGAATGAATATTAAGGCATCGAGTCAAGCAAAAAACCACCTTTTCTCGACTTGTTGCCATCTTTGACGAACAAATATTCTCTAAGGTATATTACAAATTTTGAAAAAATCTAATTAAAAAAGAAAAGGGATATGTGTTAATTGTTTAACTTCGTTGAAGTTAAAAATCTCCACTCACAATATATCAAATAATTTTTTTATAAAAAAAGAAAATAAAAATAAGCAATCATTTTAATCTAAAATTATATATTATTAAAAATTTTCTTTTGTAATTAAATTTTTTTTATCTAAAATTATATATTATTAAAAAATTTTCTTTTGTAATTAAATTTTCTTAATAGATAATTTGGTGATAAAGGATTGAAATAGAACTATAAAAATCTATGTAGACATGCTAATTTGTGTATTCTTATTTATGTATTTCTTGTTTAATATGTATAAAATATAAAAATTATCGCATTACAATTTGTATCGATACATTAAATACAAAATATATATTTTTTTTTGTCAAACATATATATATTATTAAAATTTGGAAATATATCATTTTCATATCTTTTCTATAATGTATTATCATATCACATCTAAAATTATCTTATTTACATGTATAATATGAAAAATGTTTTAAGTCAAAATTTGGTCTTATTAGTTTTTTCTTTGATCAGAGCATTAAATTTTATTCTAAAGTTATAACTATTTCCCAATATTTTAAATAGGGGTAATCTTATGTGTATGGTATTTATTATTCCCATCAGATTTCTCACTTTTTATTGGTGCAATGTATAGTATGCAGTAACTTGGTATTTGAAAAGTTTTTAAAATGTTTCGTTCTTTTCTCTCACAACCACATCAAAAATATTAAGCAACTGGTGATAACAAGTATCCAGTTTTGAAGTGCAAAAGGTGAATGAAATAGTTTCACAAAATTGAAAGTATAACGTAGATATTTTTTCGATTGTCCCTGGCATTTCCCTTTGAATTATCCTATGGCTGGTTCTTAAGGCAGAGAGAGATTTGGAGAGAGAAAAAAGTTAAAGAAAGAAGGGTTAAGAGAAAAATGAAAAAAAAAATTTTAGGGATTTTTTTTGTTTGTCAAAGTCTTTTTTTGTTATTAACAAATTAAAAATTTGTAATTAATTTTTTAAAAATAAAATAAAAATATGATGTAGATTAATAGATTATATATAATATCAATCAATCAAAATGTCACAAATATGAAGTCAACGATTACATCATTAAGTCAATGATCAATTAACATGTCAATATTTTTAACGATAAAAATTTAAAAGACTTTAAAATTTGATTAAAATTATTAAATGAATATAAATTTCATAGAGGAATTAAATCTCAAATTTTCATAAAATACAATGCCATAATTTGACCATTTATATAACAAGAAAAACTTTTGGAATTTGAAATTCTTTAACCACTAATCCAAACATCATTTATGATCAAAATCAAGGTATATATAATTTAAGAGTGATTCTCCACATCTCAACTTTTTCACAATACACTTTAAAAAATTTTACTTTTAATGAAATTACTTAAATATCCATTAATCAATTACCTTTTTGTCCTTCACACATCTTTCATTTTTTTTTTTCTAGATAGGTTTTATTGAAAATGAATTTTAGGGAGAATGTGAAAGTAACCAGATATACATATATGAAACGGCTCAGAAAGTTTCAAAAATTCATTTTTGAAAAAATAAATTATTTACCATAAATTTATTTTTGAAAGTGAACAAATGTTATCAAAAATTTATTTTCAGAAACTTCTTCGACATATCAAAAATTCATTTTCAAAATACAATACAATGATATAGAAAATGCATTTCTGAAAGTTTTTTCTTTTTCAAAATTCTGATTTCGTTTGATTTCTGAAAGTAAAACAGTTCTTGATTCAACTCCTAGTAGCAATTCTCTCTATTAGTCTATTTGGGCTTGTGTAGAATGAAATGGTTAGGCAGTGTTTAAGCATGCCTTTCCTGGACAGCACTTTTACCATTACTGATAATGATTTTCCTAGTGTTAGAAAATATTGCTTTATGATTATTATAACCATGTTATAGGTTCCCGTTTAGTGTGAAACTAAAGGACAATATCTAAAGCGAAATTATTTTTACTTAACCACCATGACTTAAAACACTTGAGAAACATGGGCTTTTTTATTTGTGAAACTAGCCAAGTAAATTCCCAAACAAATAGCTTAGATTGAAAATGACATGTAGATCCATGTAATTTCCTCTATGGAGTTATGACATTCAACATTCTTTAAAGATTTACATTACAATTATAGGGAGAAAAGAAAATTTTTTCAAAACAATACATTAACACTTTTTCCCTTATGCCACTTAAGTAGCTGAGGAAAGAAAATAACTCAATGATTGAAAAATACCAAACCTGAAACCCCAACGAGAATCCCTCTTGTAAGGTGGATTATGGTATGAAAAGCAATCAAATCGGATCCTATGATCCATAGGGCTCTGGCTCTTGTTTCGGTTTCAGCTTCTGTTGTCTTAATTCATGTTCAAACTTATGTTTATCAACACCTATCACCATCGTTCAACAAAAGCACCAACTCAACCAACACACTAAGTACTGCTGCCTTTTTTTTGTCCATAGCACAACCACACTCCTATCATCATTCATGAGCCATATCAAACCTCTCACTATTCCCTCCAAAGCATAAAGACCAAATCCCAAAAGTAAAACACACATAACAGTCAACAAGTAATCCATCTGATATCGATTAAAAACCACTCAATTTAGCACTGACAATGTATTGAAACAATATAATTGAAAAGCGATACAACAAATTAAGAATTTTCAAGGGATAATTGAAACCTCTGGGTGGTTGAAAAGTAAAAAACTATTAAATGCATTTAGTAACCTTTGCTAAATGACTTCTCATTTACCTTATCCTATGAAATTGTTTCTCACCTGGAGTCCTGTACTCCTTTTCTTTCCCCAAAAATACTCCAAACCTAGCAACAAATGCCCTCTTCTCAATATACAATATAAGAAGTTTAAAACCTCATTTTTTCAAAAAAGTTGAAAGCAATGATAATTGACAAATTCTTAATACCAACCACTTTAAATAAGTACCTTAGTAACATCCTACATTTTAAAGCAGTGACAATTGCATTCAATCCCATACACATCAAATCACCCCCATTTCCCTCTCATTCATACCATTAGTAAACACCACGATTCAGGCATGCATGTCATTACATTTTACCCCTAAAAAAATTCAAATATACTTGGAACTTACAAAAAAGAAAGCCAACCAACTCTTTAAAATATGAGAAACCCTAATAAAAGAAACAATTCTTGAAACGAACACTCAAAAAACATAACACAATTCTTGAAGTGTACCTAGGCCATCATTAGTGCAATGAAAACCCCAAAAGTGAGTGGAATGGATGTCTACAACTTTCTGCACATAGTCACTAGTGTTAGTGGTGAAACCAATTCTGATACTGCTTGCTTAGGATAAGAAGTTAATCACCTAATGGAAGTGGATGAAGTAGCAAAGTGGAGCTTGTCTCCAAAAAATAATTATGGTTTGGACAAGCTCCACTCTACTACTTATCCATTTCCTCCAAGCATCAATTTCTTCTCTTGGGCAAAGCAGTACCAAGCTTCAAAGAACCACTAATACTAGTGACCATATGAAAACGTTGTAGTCACCTATAATGAACAATTCTTGGGATGTGGATTTGTATGAGTAAGGAAACTATGTTAAATTAGATACCCTTACATTTGCTTGTCAGTTTTTTATGGAAAACCTTTTATATGTGCTAGAAATCCACTGTTAGAAATTTTTAAAGATTTCCAAAGATAGATGTTCGAAAGATTTTATGAACTTCCAAAAATTTATTTTCAAAAGTTCTTAAATACTTCTAAACATTCATTTTTTTTCAAACTTTTGAAAACTTTGGCAATGAATTTTAAGAAGTTTTTAAAATCTTCTAGACATAAATTTTCGAAAACACTTAAAACCTTTATGAAATACATTTTCAAAAGTTTCGAAACCTTGAACTCAAACATTTCAACATTAAAAAACATATGAAATAAACACCAAATCAAAAGAAAAAAACAAAAGGAAAAAATGATTTACCTTTGATTTTATACTTTCAACTTCAAATGGATGAATTTTGGCTTGATTTAAAGTTATAAATTTTAGAGTTTAAGGTTTAAGTTTGAGCTGTGAAAGAAACAACTGTGAGAGAAAGGAGAAAGAATGCTTGAGTTTTAAGTATATTTATGTTTTGGATGTGGGATATGATGAGTAAATAATGGAGTGTTGAGGTAGGGAGTGTGTAGTAAAAAGATGGGGTGCAAATAATCCCCCGCATATAATTTTTTTTTTTACTGAATTGTCATATATGTAAGTTTTTTATGGGATCAACTGCACTTATAATCTTTTCACTTCACGCCATTAAAACATTCATTCAAGTTTTTTTTTTTTTTTTTTGAAATTTTGAATCAGGCAGACTTCCCTCTCTATTTAAATTCAAGATTAGTCTATCATTCAAAAAATACAAAACCCACTCATTTCCTTTCCCTCATCCTATTTCTCTGCTATCAAACAAAATTTTCCTTCCCTTTGTTTTTTCTCTCCTACCAAACAAAAAAAAAGGAATGAAAAAAAAATGAAAGGAAGTACTTTTGCCTTCCACCCTCTTTCTTTTCCCTCCTACCAAAGACATTGTAAAGTGGTGGAAAAATCCAATAAAATAAATAGCATCTAAAAAATGAGAACTACAGTATGAAAAGCTTCTAAATCTGAAACATTTCACTCAAGACAAGTAGGAAAAATTTGCCACATTGGTAAATGGTGGCAAATTGTGAACTTGCGGGCTTGACATTAGAAGAGCACTTCTCACCATCCTAACAACAAAGATAAAATATGTTGCACTGGAATCTGTGATCCACACCCTGGGAATAAGCATTTACAATTTATGAAGTGAAACATATTTACGGACATTGACGGATACCGCATTGCCAAAATTATCTTCTCTTTTGGCTGTAACTCTGCTGCAGTTTCCAAGACCAAATGAGAATGAATGAAACAAGGGCTACTCCAACAGACAGCCAGAAAACCACCAATCACTTTGGCATCGGCTTAGGATATAAACCTGATGGGTGGGGAAACGAAAAATAAAAGAGGTTACTGCAATTATAAACTGGGGGAGAAAATCAACCGGAATACCATTATCATTAGTGTAAAAACAATTAATATAATTCAAACTGACTCTAGTCAAATATTGTATGGGATTGGAACATACCATGTCCAAACTTGATGCAAATGAGAAGCTCAACAATGCAAATTGCAAGGGAAAGCCAACAAAATGCTCCAACCTTTTTCACTGGTTTTCTGAAAAAATCCAGTGTTCAAGTGAAAGAAGAAAACTCTTCATTGGGTTATTAACATTTTTCTGGCATTATGTATATTTGCATCCAAAACAAATGGAGAGAGAAAGAGAGTGTACCGGTCTTGGAGGTATGAGTTGTATTCACGAATTGTTGGTACTGTTATTAGCCACCACAAGATCAACCTATACAGAATCACAGGGTTTCGAGGAGGAATCCAGAGACAAAATTTTAGAAAGAATGTATTAAGTTCCACTGTCAAGAAGACAATGCAAAGGCTGAGAACTTGAATGAAACGCCATGGACCAAGGAGAGGGTGCCATTCATCTTTGTCCCACTGTGCTGGCGTAAATTGTCCTAATGTTAGTTTGGAAGCAGCAAAAGAGCAATAATGACCATTGCAGGCCTCGAAATTTTTAAGTACATTGGTCAATGAAAGCTTCAAAAATTCTAACTAGGCAATTAAAAGGTGAAGCCCAAGCTAAGTTTCCAAGCCAAGTGCAAAATATGAAAAACCGGAAGTAAAAAAAAAAAGCCATATATAAAAGGAAAAGGGACCATCTTTCAACTTCCAAGCAGACTAGGGTTTAAATATTGCAGCAGTTTTCACATTTTGTAAAATGTGATTGCACAACAAGAAACATACTTTGCCAATGATGTTAGGCTGGCGACTTATACCAACCCACTGATAAGTTCTCCCGTCAAAGTACCTAACAGTATGCATTCCAGCCCAAATACCTACAAGCAAACCAGAAGCACATTCTCAAGATAGACTGAAGAATAATTAAGACTTTGTTTCCAGACCAGAAACTAAGAACAAAATAATAGTGAAATCTTTATTCATGATAACAGCTCAGACTAAGCACTTGAGATATACCCAACAATCTAAAACACGATACAATGATATAATAACAAGACACAAAAACGATATGAAAAAAAAAACAAAAAAGTGATAAGATTTAAAATTTTAGTAAAACCAAAAAAAATGTATTGTGTCTTCGTATTGACATGAATTGTGATACGTAATTGTGTGTAAAACACGATATGAATACATGAATTGTCAGTGGTTCACACGTTTTGAATAAACAAATTGCAAGGTCTACTTGAGATCACAACAATATAATTGATAATCTAGACATGGAGAAACTGCTTTTCCAACTTAGATTGCACATTTCGAAAAACTTAACTGGGCAAACAGTAAAGCAGACCGAGACTATGATATGAAGGGCTACAAAAGAGCTTCCACACCCACATTTATACTATTAAAATTAGGTAAAAATATAACAAAACAATATAATAACATATTTAGATAGAGTTATATTAGTCATTTGCCTTCCTAAGTATTATGATTGGGATCCACTTTAAATTAAAAGTGTTTTCTTGTTTCACACGCACTTAGAACTACCTTTTGCCTTGGAAAAAGAACACAGCCTTTCCTCTTTCTACTCTTTCACCAACGTGCTTAGTGTGCATAAAATCTAATATTCTAGTAATGAATAAAAGCATTGATATCATATAAGCATCAACAACTACATGAAAAAATCAGCAGAACCAGAAATACCAAATAGGATGGCAGCAAAATTCTGTCATACAACTAAAAACAATAATGACAAAATAATGGAGCTGACAGCTGCCGAACTAGTCTAAAAATTGGAGGAAATTCATACTTGATAACATCAAAGCAGAAAATATGACCCCCACCAACAAATTATTTTATTTTATCACACCACATACAAACTTTCTAGCAAACATTTGAAAAGATAGAAAATGAAACTCAAAATAGAGTATTCCCAACACCAGGTCAATTAGAATATATATTTTTCAGTTGCTTGTGCACACTTCTATGGCCTTATCACTTTTAATGATTCAAAAGCAGACAATCTCGTATGCTACAGCCTACAGCACAATGGTGAACAAAGGAAAAGAAAAAAGAAATGCAAAGGGAAACAAAAATGGCAATGCAGGATCTTACCAAACCAATTACATGTCAAAATATCAAGAATAATGCCGTCCCACCAGCACTCATTAAAGTTGGGTAGCATGTGTTGGAAGCTAAACTGTATTTGCCATAATAGTAGTTAGTTTATTGCGGAGAAACAGACAGCAAGGACATGCATAGACTTACCAATAGTAATACAACTAAATGGGAAATGAACGACAAGAAAAAACATTAAGCATGTCCATTCAAGAAACTAACCTCCATCAACTCAAATCCAATTGAAAGCACCCAGAGAAGTGGCTGATTATGGATTAAAATGGCCTTGCCCCACCAACCAAAGATGTGGGCTAGAACAAATTCATCAAACAGCATTTCCTAGAAATAATTTTTTTATACATAACAAAATCAGAAGTATGAAATAAAAATCATGATAATTAGCATCAGAAACACAGGCTCAAGTGTGCATCTAAAATAAATACCAAAAGAAACAGAGGTAAAAGAAGTAGAATAAAGTAGAGAAGCCAGGTTGTGCAAGAAGATTCATACATAACATTCTTAAACCTGCTAGAGGGATTTTCAGGAATATATATGCGACAATCAGCACCATAGGATCTTTCTGGAAGCTCTGCATGAAGATGCAAACAATAATGAAGAAACTATAATATAATTAATAATAGCATAACAAATATGAAACTAAAAGCCTTCCAGATTCAAAAGCAGTACCAAAAGCTTTAAATTGTTAAGGGGGCAAGGGTTTATGCTAACAAATTATGAGTTGCAAGGTTTTCTTAAGGTCAACCAAAAGAGTCCAGGTGCAGTACACAATGTCAACCAAAAAAATATAGAAAAGCTACTATAGACAAATGCAAATATGCACGTCTAATATATATATAAACACACACATTACACTGAACAAACCGTATAGATAAAAAAGAAATAAAAACTGAACATAAGGAAACTAACCTGAAAAAGCAAAAATGTGAGTGCAACAAGATAAACAACAGCCATTCCATGAACTAAACGCCAAATTGCAGGATGTGGCCGAATAAGGACCCTGAAAAGAAGTTTAAAATCTTGATCTGTTAGAGCAATAAAACTAGCAGTCCACTAACCATACAAATACAAAATGCTGGTGATTAGAACACAGATTCACACACACACACACACACACACACAAAAAGGAACAGATTAAACTCTATACTTATCCATAAGCAAAATTTACAGAATTCGGTCACCATCTTCATCAGCCAGCATAATCATAATAGAATTGCTAATGAAATCATTAAAACCATATAAAGTTCAGGCCAGATCAAAGGGATCTTATAGCTAACACAAATACATAATCCACTTTAAATTTCACCTGCCCCCGCCCCATTATAAGGTTCAAGCTTTTTTGAAAAGTAAAACTTTGAAGCACATAAAACCATGAATATTTATACAATAAAAACACTTAATAATGATAGATATGAGTTAGTTCTTACGAATACAAAATGCTGGTGATTAGAACACGGATTCACATAAACATTGACACACAAAAAAAAGGAACACAGATTAAACTCTATAATTATCCATAAAGAAAATTTATAGAATTCAGTCACCATCTTCTCTAGCCAGCATAATCATAATAGAATTGCTATGACATTATCAAAAGCATTTAAAGTTTAGGCCAGATCAAAGCGATCTTATAGCAAATGCAAATACATAATCCACTTTAAATTTCACCTGCCCCTCCCCCGTTATAAGGTTCAAGCTTTTTTTCAAAAGTAAAACTTTGATGCACATAAAACCGTGAATATTTATACAATAAAAGCACTTAATGATGATAGAGATTAGTTAGTTCCTCACCCAGCATAATACAGGCCACATAATCAATGTATTTGCTTTAATAGCCTAGAGAAACCAACTGAAAGTCATTGATAAATCTCCAAGGCAAAATTTTCAGCCCTCCTTATCATGAAAATCTCTGATGGTTTGAGTATCTTTTATTTTGGTATATATTCTGAGAAAAGGAAAATTCAAAATTCTATGTTTCTAAAGGGTTACAGAAAAATATATACTGTAGCTTTCCCGGGAAGTTTTGTAATGGACCAAAAGAATTGTAATGCAAATCAATACCACAAAATTTATTTTTTCTCATGTGGCTGGAAGGCTTTAAACCTACTACTAACTACCAATGCAACCAAGCAAAAGAAATGCACCAAGGTATATGTACTCAGTCAAATGGGAGACTACACCATTCTACACCACCTTAATTGGCACCATGTTTACAAAGTAGACAAACATAGTTAATAGGCTTTTACAGGCCAAATAAACAAGCTAGGGCTGCAAGCCAAGATGATAAAATGGCTCTGTTAAAACTTAACTCCATGTTTCTTCTTTCGTATAAAATGACAAAGCCTTACAAATTTCCAGAGACATTTGGACTCCCAAATTTTTAAAAGTGAATTCTCCATAAACCAAAGTAACTCACTAAAATAAAATAATCTAGTTATACCACTAGATACACAAGCCATGCACAAGTAAATCTTTAAAGACCCAAATAGTAGAGAATCCAATGGCAAACAGTTAAACAGACCAAGTTTTACAGAAGAAGATCAAACTAAAAACTTACGTAGAAGGAGCCTGCAGCAAGCAAAAAGCTAGAAAAACTGCAATCATTGCCCATACACCCCTACAAAAAGGCTCACATGAGCAACTTAAAATATGTTAGCAAGTAAAAATGTAAAGACGGTATAATGCCATTAGAAATAAATAGAAACCTTTTTACAGATATTACAAGATCATCAGATTCACTGTTCTCAGGATCAAGGGCTCCACTTGCCCAATAAAGACAGTAAATAAATAAATACTAATATAAGAATTGAGAGATAATTTTAAAATAAAAAGAGAATGAGGTTCATTCCTTTAAAAACAAAGAAAAATAAAATAATCTAGATTATCTATGGTTTTCTGTTATGTATCATAGGAATTAGGAAAAAAATTAAACAATGGGATGCAACTTAAAGACATGGTACTAGTTCCACCTCGTAGAAAAATTTATAGAACACTATTTTAAGAAATTCCCTTAATATTAAATAGAAGAAAACTGTATAATTTCAGGGTTCTGCATTTAGTCAAATAGATAATACAACAATTGTTTGCCTTACATTACAGTTACTTTTACAAGGGTAAAATGGAAAAAGAAAAAAGAAACAACTATGTTTGAATAACATTTGTTCAATGATATAGATTCAAAACAAATATGTAGGCTGCCATGAGATTTTCCTAAAATTTTTAAAACAATCTCCAAAACCATAGCATCATTGCAACCATAGTGTCCTTTTTAGAAAACAGACCCCGTACCCTTGCTCAAAACCTTGATTCACTGAACGTGTTGGCGATGCTATAGCAACATCAAGAATATCTACATAGGATGTAGACTAGCAGAAAAACTAATTGTAAGTGAGAATTAAGCTTTACTTAGCAAATCCTTTCCAGAACATATATACATGCAACAGAAACAAGTTCCAAAATTAGGATCCACAGACAACCATATGGTTGATGACAACCAAAAGATTGACAGCCATTTGCAACAAAAACATGAGCATAAATTCAAACCAAAAGATAAAAGTTCTAGGACATAAAAGAAGATTCTATGTGTACGGAAAGATAAGAGACCAACAATATAAAAGATGAATGCTAATCTAACAAGGGAGAAACTGCACAATTTACAGTTGCATTGCAGCTAAGAGGAAGTATATATTAAGCAGTGCACTCACATAAGAAAGCATGCACCAATAAATAATAATGAAATAGTACAAGGTTTGTACGCCCATGCAGTCCATGGATCTAGTTCATCGACGGAATATGATAAACCGGCATCCCCGTTTTCTTGAACAAGAGGATCCCTTGTCCTTGCTCTCCTATGACCATTAGGTTCCATAGGCTCTCGGTGTTTCACAAATACACTGCAGAACAACATCATAAGATTCAGGGAATTGAACTTGAGAATTTCTAAACATGACAATCTTACAGCTAAAAGAAAATCTAAGTAAGTTACTGTAAATACAAAAAAAGCAGTACCAGAGCTAAAATATTAAGTACCAAAGAAAAAGGGTGTTAACAACATATATTAATATGAAATACAATAAATTAATTAACTAGATCTAGCATTAAAAGAACTTGTCTTATTAACCAACTTTATGGGGAATATGGGGAAAGGAGGACAAACTTAGCATAAGCATTAAAACATCTTCCATGCAACAATTTAAAAAAATGGCAAACTCTTATCATCAGATATATCCCCAAAAAAGATACTTTCATCTCTCTATATTCGGTTAAAAAAAAACCTTTGGGATGGATTTCCATTAAATCTGATACCAAGATATAATTCAACATTCCATAAATACCACCAAGGATATACACCTCTCTCTCTCTCTCTCTCTCTCTCTCTCTCTCTCTCTCTCTCTCTCTCTCTTTTAAGAACATTTTAGGGAGTGTTTCCCAAAAGTATATATTAAGCTATTTCTTAACGAACAATGCTTTTTAAACTTATATAAACAGTAGTTATCTCCCCATTAATTCATGCAGATTCAAGGGAAGACTGTACAGCCACAATGTAAGTCCCATGTTAACCAAAACATTTACAACATTTTTACAGGTAACTACACATATAAATCTCCCATCATACATATGAAAAATACATAAGACCGAACACACACCATTAGTGTTGATGTGGTAACACACCATTTTTTTTTTTTTTTTATGTCATCTTAACTCCAGGGGATGATTTGGTTACTACAAAAGATATATACATTGTAACTGAGACATTGAATTCGCAGGACAATCAAAGACAAGCGACATGTTTGCGCAGGAATGTGCAAAATGCAAGACCAATTAAGACAAATTGTACACGTGTAATGAAAGACGTAAGAAAACAATCTTATGAAGGATGAAAGCAAACCACTAAACCATCTCTGAAGCCATGGTCCCTACAGCTTGGCCAATAATTGAAACTCATATTCAACACAGTTCATATGACGTGACAATCCACTTTCCTCAAGAGAAAAGTGATATTCTCCATTGTAATCTATCTACCGCATAATAATTATCAAAATAGTTGCTTTTATTATTTATCCTTATAATAGTCAAAGCTAATGGTCATTTCAATCATAAAAAGCAAAAATTTTCACTAGCAGGACAAGATAAAAAGATCCAAGCTTTAAGGTGCCTTTCTAAATCTTGTTTTGAGAACTATAGTTTTAGCGGCATTTCTTTAAAACAACATTAAATATTCCGCACATGCAACTAAAATAGAAACATTTCAGATCATTATATCATGATCCACAAGAGCGATCTCAAGCTTCTAAATCTCTTTCAAACATAATAAATGTTTGTAAACAGGCATTTATGTCTTAGAAAACTTAAATAAATAAATAAATAAATAAAATAAAAACATAAGAATGCAAACAGCTTCACCATGACAATTAAAAGTAAAGCCCATACATAACAACTATAAAAGCATTAAGCAGGGAATATAGAAAAGAACAAACGCGATAACACCCAGTAAGTACTACATATATTTAAAAAAATAACAAATTCAAATTCCTTTCTGATAATGGAAAACTAATATAATTAATCACTTTCCATACATAGAACAGAATCAACAAATTCCAAGTCGGAAAAAAATAGAAAAAGAAAACTTTATTCACATGCATGTAACCAGAACAGCATTAGAAAGGGGAAATAAAAATAAAACAAAAGTAAAAAAAACAATTGATAGCAGGCAATGGCAACAATTACTTGCAGAGATTTAGTGAAAGAGCAGATTTGATAAAAGGAAGAAGAGTAGACGAGGACGTAGATTGCCAGACGGAAAAAGCAATAGTGTAGAAAGAGAGATTATAAAGATATGACTGAATAAGAGCCGGAACCAAACGATGAGGATGAAAGGGAGGAAAGAGAGAACAAAAAAAGTTGTATTGCTATCTAAAAATGTTAACCCATTACGCTTCTTTCTTAATGTTTTTATTTCCTAAAATACCCTTTCACAATTTTAACTTCTTTCTCTTTTTTTTTTTTTTTTTTTTTTTTAACTTTCATCCGAAAGTGTGCTACGCGTGGGGAAGACATGTAATTAAAGTTTCAAGATTAGATTCTCTTATGCTCTTCTTTCTTGTTTTTCTTTTATTACAAGGAAGCCTTTAAAAGCACACTCTCGACAAAAAAAAATTTATTTTTATGATAAAAATATCAATTAATAAAATTACTTAATTATCTTTAATGAAATTATTTTTCTATCCCTCAACAAAATTCACTTATTCTTAATTTATAATATATAAGAAAATGTGTATTCAAAAATTTTTAAAACTTTCTAAAAATATATATCTAAAAATTTTAAATTTTTTGAAAAATACATATTCAATATATTTAAAACATTTCCAAATATGTCTTTTCGTAAAATTTTTAAACGTTTTGGATATTTTTAAATGTTTAGAAAATTTTTGAATATATATATCCAATTAATATGTTCAGAGACAAAAAAAATTTCAAAGCAATTTAAGTCTTTTAAACTTCTAAAAGCTTTAGAATTTAACATATTCAAAAGCTTCAAAAAGCAAACAAAAATGACTTTTCGTAAACTGTGAAAAGAAGATGGATATGAATTTCCGTCCTTTTTAGGAAAAATATTTTCATGAGTCACATTTTCACGCAAAAACAAATATAATTTACACTATTTAATCTCGTTCAATCAATACAAAAAATTAAAATAACCCTATATTGGAAAGGATTATTTGTAAATGCTTATATCATCTTAAACTTTAGATTTTTTGTATTGATTCAACTAAAAATCCAAGGGAGAATGAGGATTCAGAATTGCATCGATTTAGGAGAAGAGAACAAGGCAATAAGGATATGAAAGGAATTATAAAATTATGGGTATGGGGTGAAGAGAGTAGAAATGAGTGGGTTGAGTTTGAATTTTGTGTGTTATTAACAATGAAGTGTGGAGAGTAAAATTTGGAGTGCAAATGGAAGCTCTCCAAAAAAAATTTTACGAGCATACATACATTTCAATTATTAATTATTTCATGCACTTCCAAAATTATAGTTTTTAAATAATTGCCACGTGTTCATTTAATAATTAATTTATTTAGATGATATTTATAGAAAATTTTTGTAATTATTGTATTGTCTTTTCTTAAATGATATATGTTATAAGATATAGGAATGTATGATAAATAATATTTACGTGAATAGCTTATATTTTTTAGACATAGATAATATAAAAAAATAAATTCAAATAAAAATCAAAATCTTTTTATGATTATAAATTTAAATTTGTTTTGATCAATAAATTTGATTCACTTTATACTTGCTAACTAATAATTATAATACTTTATCATTAAGATCTTCCTAAAGTAAAACTTTTCATAGATTCATTTTCATGTAATTTTAGACCTTTTTTAAAATCAAACGCTTGGTAACTAATTATAACCTTAATTAATTTCAATCCAAGCATTAAAGTCTCGAAATGTAATTCTAGAAATGTTGAAATATTTTTTTACACTTAAGATTTAACCATTGTTTTAAATATAGACCATTATCCCATGGTTTTAAAGATTTTTAAAAATTGTTAGAGAATTGATTTTTTTCCTAAATTTTTAGTTTTTACCAAATTTTTTTATTTATTTTAAAACTCAAAATGCAACATATCAATATCATATAATATTATTTTAAGATTTAACAAAAATTAATCTATTGATCAATTAAATGTTTAATTGAATGACAAGTGTCTTTAATCTTGGGATTTTGAATAGGCTAAGTTGGCTTGGTTCATTATAAGAGTTTTTATGAGCTAGCTAAGTTGGTTGGGTTATAGGATATAATCGTGGGATTTGAAATTAATTGGATTTATAGATAATATTAATTAAAATTAAAATTTTTTATTTTAAGTTATATGAATTTAACTATTTATGAATTTAGTAATTTATGAATCCATGTCAACTATAAACTCAATTAATTATGGATAAATGTACTTCCTCTTTAGTATTATTTAAATTTAATACTTTAAGTCTAGATTCATATATATTAGTAAGTTGTATAAATAACCATAAACCAAATCTAAAATACATGAATCTGACTATTTGTGACTTAGTAATTCATGAATCTATGATATTTATAAGCCTTATTAATTGTAGGTGAATGTACTTAAAATTTAATATAATTTAAGTTTAACGTATCTATCAAATAGTATAAATACCCATGAATGAAATCAAGAGTAATATATTTTAACTTGATTTTCTTTTTATATTTCAGTACATTGTAAAAGTATAAGTTATTAAATTATTGATTTTGAATCATTGGAAATTAAGTTTTATTTTTGGTTTATTTATCAATAGGGTTCCAATTGAATAAATTTTTTTATATTAAATATTATTTTGTAAAATGTTTATTATTTGTTCATACTGAAAAAACTTATTACACCTGCAAAGCCTATTTATTAGTAAATAGGGTTACAAGATATATTGTGGGATTTGCAATTAATTGGATTCATAGATATTATTAATTAATAATTTTATTTTTTTTATTTTAAGTTATATGAATCTAACTAGTCATGAAATTAGTGATTCATGGATCCATGGTAACCATTAACTCATTTAATTATGGATGAATGCACTTCCAATTTAGTGCCATTTAAATTTAATATTTTTTTTAGATTAATTAGTTTTTAGCTCGTGCGATGTGCGTAAATGCAATTATATATATAATATATAACTTAGTTATATATAATATAACTAATAAATTTTATATAAAAATAAAAAATTTCAATATAAAATAATAGAAAAATAAAAATTTTGTAGATCAACATGTACCTATATAATATAAAGAAAAATGCTTTGCATCATATCTCATCTAATAATAATATTTACATAAAATAAAATAATATTAGATTGCAAAGGTTAAAAATTTATTCCACTTAAAATCATTTTTTTGTAGAAACTTTTGCTTGGTGCTACCCCTTGCTTTGGTGCAAAACATTTAGAACTCAATTACAACAATAAACCCTTGCATAAGTGGTGTCCATCCTTACATTGTATTCACAAAGGTCAAAGTAATTAAACTTGAATTTGTATTCTTTGGCTAATGGGATTGAAACCATATATTATATATTCAACATAGATAAAACTGTAAATGAAAGGTAAATAGGAGAGCAAAAACTTGTGCCAAATTCTAACAAACTCCAAATTTAATTAAAAAATCTAATTTTGTTGACATCTATTATTAATCATGATGAAAAATCTAACAAAATCTGTAAGGACTAAAAACTAAAAAGAGATAAAATATATGATATTATTCCATTCAAAAGTTAAAAAAAAAAAAAGCTAATATTAAAAATGAATGGATAAATGAAGTATGAACATGCATAAAAAAGTGAATAAAAAAAAAATCAATCAACAAATATGACAAAGAAAAAAGTTTATCAACATAAAAAGATATGTAACTTGGTGATCAAAATTTTCTTGATCATAATGAAACCAATACATTTGGAGGCTTTTGAGGACTAACCTTCTACTATTTTTAGCATACATGGTTCTTTATTTATAATAAGAATTTAAGAGACTTTTATAAATTGAAAGTAATTTATGTAAAAAATTATAATGGATTATTAATTATTTATGTAATATATCTTTTATTTGAAAAGTCTACACATTATTTTGAAAAATTCTTGTAAGACAATAATTTATACCAATTGTAATTAATACTTATATAGAAAGAAATATGAAAATATATTTCCAACTAATTAGATTTTTATTTTAGGTTTGAATTTTTAGCATTATATGCCTTATATATCCATTTAGGTTAATAAATACATAAATTATTTTTTAATTAAATACTAAAATCATGATTAGTAAATAGTCAATGCTTTCAAAGCATACTTTTTATTTATAGTATACATATTTGATGTTTAAAATTAAGAATTAAATTTGATTGAAAATAATTTAAAATAATTTAACTGTAACACATTTATAAAAAGCAAAAATATTGGATATTTATAAAAAAATAAATAACCTAATTTAGCCAAATAAATATCTTTTAAATTAAGAAAACGTATATGAAGTCAAATCAAAATAATTAAATGCAAGACACATGGCAATTGTTCAAAACAATCCACATGTAAAAAAATAGATTATTCACATTGGATTTTTTTTTTCTTTTTTACCAAAAGTTTTGATTGTTATATATTTACCAGATTTAAAAGCACAGGTGATAATTTTAATTGATAATAATTATTTAAATAAAATAAAATGAAAATTTTAAATACTAATGGTTGATTAATAATAATAAATAGGAGTAATTACATAAAAGAAGATTCGAATTAGCAGCAATGCTCATTTAATCTATAAACACCCCTAAAATAAAAGGCAATCAATGAAAATTTTGTTTGAGAGATAATAATGTATACAAATATTTGAATACATGAGTAGCAAATTCTTTTTTTATTTGAATTTGTAATTGAATTTTTATTTATATAGTCTTCTAGGCTAATAATTATAAATTTTTACCAAATTCAAGCTGAAATTTATAATATTATTAAAAGCTAAATGTTATCAAGTAAATCAATTTGGACAAAAATAAAAAAAATTCATTCAATATTAATTTACTTTGTAATTTTAATTTTTAAATGTTGGATTGTAAGTTCTTATGTAAGATAAATTAAATTGAATTGAAACTTATATATATGGGGATAACAATGGATAATTAAAAATATAAATGTCATGATTTGGTTCTTAAATTCATTTTAGTCAATTAGACATTCAAAAATTAAAATTATCCCATAATTATTTTCAAGACCTATCTTATAAATAAGGATGTTTTGGGATGCTTAAGAAAAATATTATATGCCTAAAATATTTTTTTCCCATTGTCATGATATTCTTAAATTACATTTGTGTAAAAAAAATATTCACTTTTCA